AAACAATCACCTTGTAGAGAACTTCAAACAGCTTCAATTTAAAATACTTTACACCAATATTAGTTTTACATTTCATGGTTGTTCTCGTTAAAATATTATGACCAGAACTGCACGTGGAACGCTAAAGCTAGCTGCTGCTGTTTGCCCTTTTAAATAACTTCAGAGCGTTTGGTAAATAACCATGTAATATAAATAGCCTTTGGAAAAGCCACAATGAATTATTTTAGATTGAATCTGTCTTAAAGCAGCAGCAACCCACTTTGTTCTGGTCCTGCTCGGACTAGCTGTGAGCTCATCAATCTGGTCAGAATGAAACGTTATTTCTTCAAACTGCGGTTGTTCAAAGACCTATTTACAACAGGTAAGATATTAATTACTCCTAACTTTTTAACCACTTCAAAATGTCTGAAAAATAGCTTTGGAAAGTAAAGGCCAATAGGAACTTGAAGAAAAAGAGAGGACGGGGTGGGGGAGTGGAAGAAGGGTAATAGTAGTGTGGGTGGGTGGCTAGTATTTATAGACAACAAGTGATGGGATGCTCTCGTTAGGCTGCGGCTTGCTGAGCAAGATCACAGGCGCACCGCCAAGAGGTCATGTGACCGCATTACACACTTCAGCGCCCTGTGAAAGCAATAGAAAGGGAGTGAGGTTTGGAGGAAGATCAGGGCAGAGGAAGCAAAGAGGGTCAGAGATGAAAGGGAGAAAGAGAGAGCAAACTACCCCTGAACCCCTCTGTGCTCACTGCCCTTTTGTAACTAAGCAGCATACAAACAAACCCCCCCATCATTTGGCGGACGTGCTGCTCTCCCACTATGTTGGCACCGACCTCAATTACCCAATGCGGTCACAACTTTGTTTCATAACTCGAAAGAACAAAATAAAAAACTTCCTTAGACAACATGTTCACACAAACCGTGAAGACAATTCAGAAAAAAACAATCTGAAATCGCTGTGAATGAAACTTTGGAGCTACAAATGTCTGACCGCTGAGGAGAATCTGTACATGCTCTAACTCCTGAAGCTACTGTACTACCACCCCACCCCCCCAGCAGGGCCCACAGTTGTAATCCTCCAGATATGACACCTAAAAGCCAGAAGCCTGACCCTAAACCTTGTAAAGTCTCGAGACCTGAACCTCGTGACTTGATTGCAGAAAAACCAAAACATGGGATAAGGAGATGAGTTAGGATGGATTAGGAATTATAAAATAGATTATTATGAGTAAAAAAGGGATAAAACCCTGTTGATATGTAAAAAAGGCTAAACTCACAAAAGAGTTAGGACTTGCCTGGATGTGAATATTATCTGACGGTGCAGAACTAAGGATGAGCACGCTCACGGACACACAGAAATACCACATAAAAGAACGCTTGTACGGGCAGGTGAGTGCAGGGTCGCCATCTCTTTCAACTCAGGATACTTCAAACAGCACCCTGCATGAAGACGAAGCGACACAAACAAAGGAAGTACCGCAACCGACGCACGCACAGACTGAAGGTTAGGTCCATAAAACAACCACCTGTGGAAGAACTCAGTTTCTTTACATTTTCTACTTTTTAAAAATATATAGTTTTCCGAGCTACAAATTTATTATGTATAAAATTGTTTTAAATTCCAATCATTACATAGGTAAAAGTTACATGGTGACATGTTATTTACCAGGACAAGCTCCACACTAAACATTATTAACTGCCCCAGTATGCAAGAAGGAGCAACAACACACAAGATCAGTGCTATACTGAACAATATCCATCCATCCATTATCTTTACCTGCTTTTCCCTTTCTGGATTGCGGGCCTCACTGGTGCCCATGTCCAGCAGTCACAGTGTGAGAGGCGGGGGACACCCTGAACAGGTCTCCAGTCCATCACAGGGACACATAGAGACAAACGGGACAAACAACCATTCACTCTCTCACTCACACCTAGGGACAATTTAGAGTTACCAATCAGCCTAACGTTTTTGGTCTGTGGGAGGAAATTGGAGTACAATAGTCCCTCACTACTTCACGGTTCATTTATCACGGACTTGCTCTATCGCAGTTTTTCAAAATAAGATTGGACATGACATTGGCTGATTGATGGATGAGCCGCATAATGGGCATGGAATTTTTATTTAAAATTAATTATTTTAAATTATTTAACACCTGCTGCACCTTTGTGCAACCCACACTTCAGAAAAAGCTTCCTGCTGCAGCTGATCAGCTGTTCTCAGAGCTGAGAAGTAGGCGTGGCCAAAAGCAGTTGCAGGTGACAAAGAGCAAATGAGCCAGAGCTGAAATCACTTATCACGGGGCTTCAGGTACGGATCCCTCGCGATAAACAAGGGACTACTGTACCCGAAGAAAATCCAGGCAGCACGAAGAGAACATGCAAACTCCACCCAGAAAGGTCCTGACCTGGGATTTCATCCGGCAACCTTCTCGCTGAGAGGCAGCAGCTCTACCAACTATGCCACTGTGCTGCCCTTGAACAATATTTATAAAGAATATTATAATTTATAATCCATTAATAAATGTAATAATTAAATTTGTTCTATAACAGAACACTGTGTATATGAAAGTGACATTAAAAACTATAGAAGTATATTCATTTTTAACCAGAAAAAATATCTGTTGACATTTTTCATACAACTGCATAACTGATATAAGAATCAGACGATGTTTTTCATTGCAAATGTGCAATGTGCAAATGTGAAAATTGAAGATTTTGTCTCAAACTAATTTGATGACGTACATCATACCTGAAAACCTGCTTTACTTCCAACAAGAAGAAGCAGCTCAGCCTACTGTACATCTGATCCCACACAGGTTAAGATTCTGTCTGAGCTGTCTGCTCCAAACATCACAGGAAACATCTTCTCTTAATGCTTTAGAATACTTCCTGAATTTAAAAACTGTATATTTTAGAAATTAAAATGTGGCAAAAAGTTGAAAAAAATCTTTTCAATAGAGGTTATGAACCTTCAACACTCTTCTACAGAAGAGTTCATGGACACCCCCCCCCCCCCCCCCCCCCCCGGCCCCCAAGTGACAAAACATAACAAGTGAATATGATCCTAAATTAAAGGTTGTTGATTTCAAGAGGCATCCTTGCCACCTACCAAAAAATAAGTGGACTATGGACATTAAAACGAGCAAGAAATCAGGTTTTCTGACATTTGTGTACACCTGTTTCCACATGAGGAAAATTCACAAAGCAGCATCTGTATACATCCAAAAGTCCTGTGGGATCAAAGACACGCTGTGAATTTAAGGCAATAAAAACTAGGAAGAACATTCTGGTTGAAAACACATAATTTTGTACAAACTGTTTCCTTTGTGCACCAACGAAATCATGGAATATAAAATAATAATCTACCATGCAGGTCATGGCATACTGTGAGAGCTCACCTTCCAGTAAAAAATGTTTTGAGGAATGCCGTAACTATTTAACACAAACTTTAGTTTATATAAAGTATATATATAGTTTGGGGAGCGGTGGCGCAGAGGTAAGAGAAGATGGGCCTGTGATCAAAAAGTCACAGGTTCATCTCCCGGTACCGTCAACATCAAAATGTGGGTGGAAAAAGTGAAACACCCACACCTGCCTCCACCCTCATTTGCTCCACTCTGGGACCCTGAGCAAGGCCCTTAACCTCCCACCATTTGCTCCCAAAAAACAGGTCTATCATGACTCAATGAGACTACCTGCATAAATAAAGGTTAAATAAAAAAAATATATATGTGCACTAATACTAACCTAAGAATGGCAAGACAATAGCCTGCCTTCATCTTCAATATAAATTACAAAACAAGCAATTAAATGTTTTGTAAGAAAAAACATGACAATGGGAGTTAATAAATAGCCTATGTAGTCTATAGCTCAACAGAAATCATAAAATAAATCACAGTGGATATAAAGTAATATCTTATCCTGTAGTCCAGATGCCTGTTATTTTTTTATCTTTACCTTTTGTGAATTTGTTAAAGGATAATTCCAACTTTTAGCTGACACTGTTTGTAGTTGATTGCTCAAATGTCCCCATTTTAGGTCTGCGTTTCTGAACCACTCATGCCATCAATGTAGAGAAAACCCAACTCTGTTTTTCCCACACACACAGGGTGGGAGCAGATCCTGAGGTTACAATCCAGGCACATTACTCTTTAGTCTGGTTGTTGTAGTTGGATTAAGATGTTAGCTATCCCCAGTTAACCCCTCCTCGGTAGGCATGGCTCCTCCAGGTCCTAACATGGTGCGTAGGGAGACCGAACCAGATGAAAGGATACAAGACAACATGGGCTTGCACTGCAAAACTCAGTCAGGGCAAAAGGTTAAGGAGAGAAAAGAATCTCCTTCTCCATCTTTCTCTTCTACTCTCAGTCATGAATTTTTTAAATGTTGAACTCCAGCCAGTGTTCATACATCCTTCTTCTTCAACTCCTGTCTCCTGCTTAGAAGAATCTCCATGTGAGAAATTAGGATGGCCTCAGCCTGACCACTGGCTCAATCACTCTCCTTTCCAGGAGGATTTGAGGTCACTCGTTCATACCAAGGTGACTCAACTGTGAATAGGTGGCATCCTCTTTGAAAGAGTCTACGCCTTCATCCCGGCTATGGTTAGCATAAAGTCCCAGAGCAGGGAGAACATGAAGGTTAATCAGTGGTGGGGTCCCCATGACAACACTGAAGGTATCACTTTATGTGACTTGTACATGGGTTGGAGGAATTAGTGTATGATGAACTGTGATGTATGCTTTACACCACTGGAATCATTCAGTGTGGTCAATTATTACATGAAGTACAAATACTTTATTTAAATTAGGCAAGTAGGAAAGGAAACCTTTCTGTACATAACTTGTTGTGACACTGTAATGAAGTTGCACAATATCATCTTCTTCAGTGTCTTTATACTGAATAAAATATTCTGAGGTAGATTGAAAGCAAACACATTTTTACTGCAGATCCTAAAACTTCATTGTGGTTTGCCTAAATCCCATATCTGCACATGGACTAACTTACCATTCCATGGCCACAGTCTGTCCCGTCGGCCAGTGGCATGTGCTGGGTACGGCAGCCTTTGTGGTCCCCCTCAGCACTCGTACACCACAACCTTTTGCACTGTTTCTGTGGAGAAAATGTGACCAGAAGCACTAAATAATGTGGGCTGAAAAGAGTAAAAAGTAACAAACCAGTGAGATTTTCACAGCACATCTGTAGAGGTACGTAATTATAGTTAGCAACGTTAGGCTTGATTAGAGTGTATTTCTGCATTATATTGAGGGGGTACAGGGATGTGCTTGTAGTTTTAATTCAATCATCTAGTTCCTCAAAACAAGCATTTAGTTTAGTAGAATGAAAATAAATAGATGGACACCATCATGTTGCATGGCGGGAATAATTTTCCAGACATACATGTATTATTTTCATCATTTTGTTGTAAATATTTTAATATTACTGTTGTTAAGACTGTTGCTGTATTTGTATATTTGTACATCGCACATTGCCCAGGACATCCTTGTAAAAGAAATTACTAATCTCAATGGTTCCTGGTAAAATAAAGGTTTAAATAAATACAAAAATTCAATATATTAAATCCAAATTTTTATCAACAGTTGCACAGACACAAATTATAAAAAGTTGAAAAAATAAAAAATTATGCCAAAAATATATTTGATTTCACGTCGTTGTAGAAAGCATGAAATCAATATTTGTTTTTATTATCTCATTATCATCAACAATAAGAAAAATACTTGAGTAAAGCTTTAATATCTTGTAATTCAATCCAATTCAATTCAACTTTATTGTCCATAACATTCAATGAAATGGAGCTTTGTCTTTGGCATCTGGCTCATAAAAACAACACAAGATCAAAATGTAATTAAAAAAACTTTTAAAAGCTTTGCTAACTCAGTTAAAAAGTACGGTAAGGTTGCCATTCACAATTCATACACTAAAGACTAACATTGTTCAAGTTCTTGTTTAGAAAACTCTCGCAATGTACATTATGCATCTCTTCCAACAAGGCTTCTTTCATTATAAAATGTGGTTTTGTCTTGTCTTGATGAAAAATACTTTGATTTTAATTTAAAGGCAAGATGCTCTGATCCTAAATCTCAATATAATTTTCTGTAATAATTCTGACAACACAGAGGTGTAAGTTACGTTATAAAATATAACTTTTACAGCCCCATGTCACCACAGTCTGGCTTACAGACGTGCTAATAGTAATCTGTGTGCTAATTTATGTCCTTGATTCAGAGCTTAGTGATTTAGTGTCCTTGATTCAGAGCTTAATGGTTTCTAAAAGAGAATGTTGCAATTTTTTAATGACAATACAGTAGTCACTCGCTCCTTCGCGGTTCGTTTATCGCAAACTTGCTCTATCACGTTTTTTTTTAATAAGATTGGACATGACACAAAATTGGCTGATTGATAGATGAGCCACACGATTGGCATGGCTTTTTTATTTAAAATAAATTATTTTAAATTATTTAGCACCTGCTGCACCTTTGTGCAGCCCAGAGCTGCAGAAAAAGCTTCCTCCTGCAGCTGATCAGCTGTTCTCCTGCAGAGCAGAGAAGTGGGCGTGGCCAAGAGCGCTTGCAGGTGGCTGAGAGCTGAGGAGGCAGGGAGCTGAAATCATGACATTCTGTGCTCTTTTAGAGATTTACAGCTTAGAAATTGTTTAGAACATTGCAGGAGTGTGGGAAGAGTTTAAAACGCCTTAATACACACACACACACACACACACACACACACACATA